TCGAGTCTGCAAATGCTTTCTTCTGCATGTTCTTGCCCCTCCTATTTCCCCCTACTTCCTCCTGCTCCTTGATCCCCCCACCTCGTCCAACACCCTCGCTGGTGAGGGCGCGCGGCGCACGCGCGTTCCGCGCGGATCACTGGTGCGCCTTTTGCCTCCCTCAGGCTTCTTGTGCTTCTTCCTACCCCCCCCGAGCTCCTCTTCCGTGTTCCTACCTGCTCATGCTCTTGCACGTTTCCAGTCTCTCCTATCGCCGTGCTCCCTCTTTTCACCGTGTTCATTATGATTTTCATTTTCCGCCCTCCTCACCTTTGCTCCGCTTCCTGCGCCTCATCATCCGCGAATGCGGATGCGGCTCGCTATTTTCGCCGCTTGCCCGATTACCCGGCCTTGATCAGGGCGACTCGTCTTGCGGTTGTTCATGGATTGGCTCGTGAGGATTTGAGCAACGCGTCAATGACTTCACCGGGCGTCTAGGTGTTATTGTTGGCGTCTGGGCGTTGCCGCTGGGGTTTACCGCGGGCCAGCATGATTAACAAGTGCAAGCGGCGCGTTGGCAGGCATTCGCCTTCCTGGAGACATCTGTCTGGTTTCGCAGTGACCTCCTTTCGCACTGCTCTTGTTTCTTTGCCTCCAGTTTGCGGTTGTATGTTTGTAGCCCTTGGCTGAGCTCCATCAGGCGGCTATAATTCCGCTGCCCTCGCTCGATGTATGACCGCCCCCGCCGCAATGCTCGTGAACTTTCCGGCGGGCTGATCATTTGTGGTTTTGTCTGCAGTTGGACTGCGGGCGGAACGCCGGCGCCGCTTATGCAGCATTCCATTGTTCGTTTTCCTCTGAGGGCATCCGCAGTGGTTTTTGCGCGCGTTTGTTTTTCTTGTTGAGCAGATCAGTTCAATCAGATCTGTCGTTGTTCGGCACGATACCACTAAAATGAAATTTGTAAAGGAAAAAATATCCACGCGTCCCTTCATAGCCCTTGGCGAAGCCAAGATGGCCATCGGCTCCACCACTTTGGAGAGGGCGCGTGTCTTGCCGACGCCGCCCCCCCCGAGCCAAATCGCTCTGTGGTTGCTTGTCGCGGACACCACGGGGAGCAGATGCGTTGTCTTGTCTGGTCTGCCGTCAAAACGTTTCTGCAGTGACAGCGCGAACAACGCCGCCGCGTCAATCTGCTCCTCCGTGCACTCGGCATCAGCGACCAGCTTCCACGCAACAGCCGCCGGGCCCTGCATGGCAAAGAGCTGCGGAATGAGTTCCGGCTGCGCGTCCTCGGCAGCAGGCTGAGGAGCACCGCTGGGTAGCCAGTCGTCCGCAGCATCGGGCAAGATCTCTCCATCCGGGCTCGCTTGCTTCTTCTGGAGCGCAATGCTTTGCCGCTGTAAGGCCAGCATGTCAGAAAAGCTCTCGTCCAGTCGCGTGCCCAGATGCTCCCGCGCGCCGGCGCTGGCTGGCTGTGCAAAGCTCGCCCGGGGCATGCCGCCGCACGCTCGGTCGAGGTGCTTGAGCTGCTTATCGGCGTAGCTGAGGCGGCTCTTCTGGTCCAAGCGCTGCAGGTGGTCTTGCTGCAGGGCCAGCTCGGTTGCTCTGACGTGCTCCCGCAGCGGAAACAGGGAGATCTCTGTAATCGCGGCGTCCTCCACCTCCTCCTCTACGTCGCTGCCGCCGCCTCCACCCACGTCAACGAGCTCCAGCGGGACTCGCCCCGTGGGCCCTTCGGCATCGCTCGCGGAGTCTTCATCCGCCTCGAGGTGCGCAGTTGCTGCTGGCCGAGGTTTAACCCGCGCCTCCGCTGCGAGGTCCACGTGCGCCAGCACGTCTCGCGCCACGTACGCGCAGAACTCCGCCAGGGTGCACTGTTCCTCGTGCCACCGGCAGTGGTGGTCACTGAAGGCTAGTGATGTGTGTAACCTGCCTTTCCAAGGTTACCTTTTCAAGGTTTGCCTTCCTGGGTCGTAAAAGGGTGTATATAAGGAGTGTGTATATATATAAGCATATATATATACATGGCAAGCCCATGTATTGATTTAATCACAGGGGGATAGTAACATTCGGGCGGTGGGGAAACAAAATAACCATATTTCACGAACAGCAGCAATCATGTGGCGCACGAAACAATATTTTGAACCGCGGCAAATATCATGATTCAACCAAGGCGGTACCTCATTGAAGGTAGGCAATACTCGCAACTACGAGTTCACACGTGCATTAATGTTACACGACGGAGGGCGGTTCCTGAGCAGAGCGGGGGTTTCGTTCATTATTGTCAGACCGTCGGGCGCTAGTCTTTCAAGGGGGCGCTGCGGGGGCTCGGGAGCTGTTCCGTCGTAATTTCGGCTCAAGACTTTTGATTTTGCGCAGTTGGCTGGCTTACGCGTTAAGAAGAAACGCTTCGATTCACAGCCAATGGATACCCAATTCACAGTTGGCGCATCTAGCCATCAAGCGGATCATGACGTCCAGGTGGAAGATGTTGTAATTCACGACAAAGTAGCGAGACACATTTTGAGCAAATTGGTTATCACGGACCTCGTCGAAGTCATCCCGGACGCAGAGGACGAGACACAGATGCATTTGCATAAGGTCACTTGGGAAAACGTTGATCTTCTAAGGCAGTTTGGCGCACATGGGCCGATTCATAACATCACAGGTTTCGACGAGAGCGAGAGGAACACTACTTACACAACGTACACGCGTATTGACAGCGCCATTACCGCAGGAAAAACAATTGGATTGACAATTTGGGGCTCACCTCATTGGTCGCATGCGCCTGACGGGACTACAAAGCATTTCAAGGACAGTAATAGCTTCAAAACGAACAGTTTCGAGTCAATGTCGTGGCTATCGAGCACTGGATTTACAATCATGTCACTTGGAAAACACTATTGCCCCGAGTTCTGGCACCCAGCCTTCGACAAAAAAAAATGGAGATTCAAGGGTCAAGCGTGCTCTGATGGTAGCGGAAGGCTACTTCCGAGAGTACGTCCCCATGGCTTCGGGGACGCGCTATTACCATGCCTCACAGTATGAAACCACAGTCATGGTGGCAATGCTGGTGCCAAGTAGGTTCCGGTCTTGCGTTGCTTGGATGGGCGACGCGATCGACGTGGGGCTAACTATGCTCAACGTCATTTCAAACCTCGAGGAGTCCGAGATCGCGATCGAACTGGGAGGGCAGACGTTCGCTATGTCAAAGGAAATAGTTTTGGCACATGTGGAAAAGGATGCAGCCATGCCAACAAGCTGATCACTGATCAACGCCGATGGCCATTGGAATGCATTGGAATACCGATCTACGGATTGGCCAAACACGTACACATTGTTCTCAGTTCAGTTGAGCGTGAGTGTTCACGAGCAATTTTTATTGAGAGTTTAGATTCCTAGGGCGCTGGACGTCAAGCTTCGCTGTATGGTATTTTACAGTTGACCTCATCAGCAGGTCAACTGAGTGCGAGCAATGCCCCGTGAAACAATGACCCTGGAGGGCCCTGGAGTGAACGGAGAGGCCTCAGTTGGATCGAAGATGCGCCCCTAAGCCCAAGCTAGGCAGCCTTCCTACGGCATGTTTCGACCGACCCACCTAGTCGAAGATCACCTAGGTCACCTAGGTCACCCCCAGCGCATCGCGGGGCGCGACGCGCGAATCTAGGTGACCTAGGCAACGTATTGGCAGGAGGAGAAGTATATACATCATAGAGATCATACATTTACATGGTCATATGTGCGTGCATCAAGCCATACACACATTCGCACGTATATGTATGGATACGCATACCTATGCATATGCAGATGCGTAGACATAAACGCATACAAACATATAAGACAACTATGTGTATGCATATATGTTTGTTTGCATGTATGTAGGTATGTGTGGTCTGTGTGTGAGTATGTATGTACGCGTGCATGTAATTATGCGTGCACGTCCCAGAAATTTCGAGAGGCCCTGAAGTGTCACGTGTCACGAGAGACCCCAAGAAGCCCCTAGGATCCAACAAGAAGCCAAACAAGGGTAGACCCCCAGCTCAATCTCCAAGACCCCAATCTCCAACCCCAGACCAAGACCCCAGAACCGCTTCCAGGGTCACCGGCGGAGCGTCGTCCCTGCCTCCCTATCCTCGCCCTCCCCCTCCCCCTTCCCCTCCCTCCCCGCATTCACTCACCTCCTTCTCCTCCTCCTCCCTTGCAGCCATTTTGGCTTTCTCAGATTTCAGAAGGCAATATTTATGCCGCTCCCTTTGGAGTGCCGTCTCCAGATCCTTGTCAAGCACTACGGGTGCATAGACGATGATGGCAGGGCAGCAATCACGAACGTATACGAGCTTGCCAGACACTTCGAAGACGACCTCGGATTCGAGATCAGGGACGCACAGCACGTTAGATATCTTGTCCAAGCCAAGCGAGAATCGTTCCTCGCCAGAGGTTCGTCCAAGAAGTGGCCCAAATACAACCTCGACGTCATAGCCAGGATTCTCGAGGCAATGGGCGCAGTGATAGACGAGGACGAGTGGATCCGCATTCGCGTAGGCGAATGCTCCTCCTCCTCCTCCTCCTGCTCCGTCTCCTTCTCCTCTCCTTACTCACCACCTTGCCGCCCTCTCCTTGTTCGCCGGCGCGCCCCGCGGCCCCCCCCCCTCAGGGCTCGAGCGCGTCGTCGAGGAGAGCCTCGCTGCTCCTGGCGACGGCGGCGACGGCCCCAGCGGCGCGGCGGTGGCCGCGCGGGCCGCTCGAGACGCCGCCGCCAGGACCGGCGCGGGCAGAGGGAGGAGGAGAGGAGGAGGAGGAGGAGGAGAAGGATGAGAATGAGGAGGAGGAGGAGGAGGAGGAGGAGGAGGAGGAGGAGAGGGAGGGGCTGACATGGAGGGGCCACCACGGCCACCACTCCGCCCAGGGCGACCAGCTCCTCCCTCCTCCCCAGGAGGAGGGAGGAGCTGACTTGGGAGGGGCCACCACTCCGCCCGCTAGGACGAAGCTCGCCAGTGCCTTTCGACGACGGGTCGCAGACGCTAGAGCGCTCGCCTCAGAGCGCGCCAAGAACGCAGAGCTGCTGGCGAAGATCGAGTGGTTGGAGGAACGATCCATCGTGCCAGCCTTCAGTTCCAAGTACCTGTACCAGAAGATGTCAGTATTCAGGGGGATGCACCTAGCCCTCGGGCGGACGCTGGCCAACGTTAGTGCAGCAAGAATCGGGCTCGCATGTTCAGTCGACGTCCACCACGCCACAGTGTGTACATGGGAGGTGCGCTGTTGCGCGGCCTTCCTGGCGTCGTGCCGAACGATGCAGGATGCCATCACAGACGTCATCGAGATGCAAAGCAGGCCAGGAGTATTTGAACCCAAGTTCACTAACTTCCGAAACATATTGATCAGGTGCGACGGCACGAACACGGCCTTGTGGCAGCACAAGAGGAAACTACATGGACTGTCGCGTAAGACATCTGTCAGATTGAACGGCCGAGCTGCTACGACCGCAACGTGGCACGCGGACGTACTCGGGCTTCAGTCGCAGGACCCGCCCGTCCTCGTGGAGACCATCAAGAAGCAGATGCAGAGCATTGGCACCGCTCCATGGGATATGCTGGGAGAGCCAAACGCAGTTCATGCCTGCGTGTGCTGCGCGGACGCTGGCGGCGACGTCAAGGCTGCCAGAGAGATCATCAAGAAGGACGTTGGGCACTTCAGCAGCTGGATATTCTTCTTGGACTGCGACTGCTTCATGCACCAGTCGTCGCTGGGCACCCTGGACCAGCTCAAGCTCGTGGACGCGACGATGGGGAGGCTCGTCAAGAGGCTGGTGCTGCCAGATGAGAGAAGCCCGAAGAAGTACGCCTCTACGCTGATGAAGGTTATGAGCGTGTGGCGCGACCACGGCGCGGTGGTCTACTTCACACGGCAGCAGATTGATCCCAAGACGGCCTACCTGGCGCACACCATGCCGCCGAAGTGCATCCCCACCAGGTGGGGCACAAAGGACGCTTGCGAGGAACTCCTCCTTTCCCTACCCAGAGATACGTTCATTCTCGCGATGCGCATGTCGCTCGATCGTCGCATGAGGGCCAGCACGCAGAAGCGGAAGAAGATGGCGGAGACAGATGCGCCGTCGGCTGGCCTGGAGTGGGTGATGGCCATCGAGGAGGCCCAACTTGCTGGAGGCCAGAACTACTCGCAGACTATGTCGAGATGGGCGGCGGACGTGATGCTGGGCTTGGACACAGCTGTCTGGTGGCTGCTTGTGGACATATCATTTAAAGTGCGCCGGCCATGGCGAGAGCTGCGCGAGCATTTACAAGCGCATGATCAGCTGGTTAAGCGGACAGGCGCAGGAGCATTGGCACACTTGGTCTGGACCAAAGCCGACTCCATTTACAAGAACGCCCTGAGCATGCAAAAGATTGATGCATGGAGCGACGTGTTGGACACAGTGGGTGACGCGTACTTGGTGGACGCTGCTGCAGCCTGCTGCGAGTTGGGCATGGCCTCCGCGGCGTGCTTCAAGACGCGCATCGTCGACATGATGCGCACGTTTCCGCTCAAGTGTCTACTCCTTGCACAGGAGAAGCACTCCACGCGCAGCCCTGGCAGGGCGGCGCTGGCAAAGGAGATCCTGGGCCCGCAGACGTCCGAGCTCAACGTGGTCAAGCTCAGGGACATAGCCGCTGATGAGTTGCAGCACTGCGCAGACACCGGAGAGCTGGACTACGCCATGTGCCTTTGGGTGAAAAATATTTGCAGTCTCTGGCAAGGCGACGCGGAGGCGAACGAGCGCTTCAACAAAACCCTCAAGGAAGAGCTCGTCAAGGCACCGCTCGGCCACTGCCTGCTTGGATCGAGGGCCATCAACAAGACGTTCCTACATCACCTTCAATTCGAGACGAGCGGGAGGTCGAAAGGTGCACCGAGATGGGGCGTCATCCAAGATGGTTTCTTCAACCTTGTTGAACACGCTGCGCAGTACAACGACGGCTCGCTGATCATCATGGGCGACCTGACTCGCTACGACCTCCCCGCCCTGCCTGATCTCGCATTGCACGCCGGCGAGGCAAGGGCGGAGTTGGCCGCCATCCAAGATGCCACTGCTACTCCGTCCGCGCCGCTGGCGGACGCACCAGAGGCAGCTGCGCCGGCGGCCGTGGACATAGACACGGCCGCGGCTGCCACGTTCGACGGCGTCGACGCCAGGCCCGACGAGATCGGCGAGACCTCACCCGCGGCGGACGAGGACGGCCGCAGGGGCGAGGTGAGGGCTGGAGGATGGCGAGGAGGATGTCGAGGAGGAGGAGGAGGAGAGTGAGGACGTGAAAGGGAGGAGGAGGAGGAAGAGTAGGAGTAGGAGTAGGAGTAGGAGTAGGAGTAGGGAGTAGGAGTAGGAGGGGGAGATGCAGCAGGAGCTTAGCTGAGCTTAGCAGCAGAGCAGAAGTGGTACGTCGCACGTCTATCTCGCCTCCTGTCTCCCCCGGCGCACCCTCCCGAGGATATCGACAAGTCGTTGCATCGGCAGCTCGTCAGTCTGTGGAGGAAGCAGGCTAACAACTGTGAGCACATGGAGGCTCCTCCTCCTCCTCGTCCTTGACTCGTCCTCCTCCCCATCCTCCTCCTCTCCTCCCCCTTTTCTTTTCTCATTCTCCTCCCCCTCCTCCTCCTCCCCTTCCCTCCTCCTCCTTCCTCCCCCTCTTCCTCCCTCCTCCTACCCAGGGGTTCCGCTCCGCCCTGTGTTTTGGCATCGATGGGACGTGCGAGGGGTGGAGGTGTTTCGGATCTCGCGGACACGTCCTTCATTTTGTCAGGTGTGACCATGAGGTGGAGGACGCCAAGATCATAGAACCTATCGAAGTCGTCTCGTCTCAAACGTTGATCCGGAACGGGAGGCAGCAGGGGGAGCTGATCTTATCGTTGTGGATTCGGCCCTTCCAGCAGCTCGGCCCCGGCGGTGCAGTCATCTTCGGCCAGAGGGAGGAGTGGGCAGTGATCACATTCAAACCATCGGAACGCAAGAAGCACACAAAGATCAAGACGGCAATCGCTGATGGATACCCCAGCAGCGACGACGGCGACAATGACAGCTCCGACGACTCTGGCGACTCTGACGGCAACGACGACGATGACTTATTCGTGGATGATGGCTTGGCGGCGGTAGACGAGCACAGCCGCAAGAGAGTTGCCAAGCACAAAGCCAAAATGGGAGATGAGTCAATATTCGATGTCAGAAGAGAAGACGACGATGAAACAACACTTGCTGCCGCACACAAGGACGATATAGACCGACACATCGACCCCCCTGCTCTAGACGAGTCTCCGCTAGAAGATGCGTGCAGTAGTTTGAGGATATGGTCTGGGGCAGTGGAAGCATGCTTCATTACATTGTCGTGGAGGGCTACTAAGATGAGTTGCGCTCTCGGTGAGAATCGTGAGCTGGCTCTCATATCGCTTCCACAGGGCCCCAACCAAATGGTATCCCTCGTGCACTTCCCCGCCCAGGGCCGCACGGTCCGCCCTGCGCTCGCGCATGCACAGCGGGTCATGCTGGACGACCACAATAGGATTATCTTTTCGCCCATCAGCACTCGCCCGGCCCAAGATTTCACCAACCCTTTGACTGCTGTGATTATCCCAGCAACAGGGTGCAACATGGTGAAAGCAAAAGGGATTTCCAGAGAGCCCTGCCCCACTAATGTTCTGTCGGTCATGCGTTTATATAATCTGCGCCTAAGTGGCGGATTTGCCCGGGTGCAGGGCGGGGTGTGCATTTTGTGCAACAAAGCCGAAGGGGCGCGGATATGCCCCCTGTGCAATCTTAGCTTTCACGATAATTGTAGTCGCTGCCTGGCCGAGGCGGCGATATCGACTGCTTTTCAGGGGCCCACCATGCCTGAGGCCCCATCTTCCTGGCCCGACGTTCTTCGAAACCCGAGCGTTATGTGCCATTTGTGCAACGTGTTCTATCACGCGTAGGGTTGTTTCGTTTCAAGGGGTTGGGAAAAGGCAGAGGGTGGAGATGGATGGAGACGTGCTCCTCTTACTGCTCTGCTGCGCACTGCTACTGCCCCTTTTTCTGCGGCCGGATGGGGCTGCCGGCCGCGGAGCCTCGACTCGAACAGCGAAGTCGACGCACTGCCAGTGCACTGTGCACTGCTGCTCTGTCCTGCGGCCCGCGCACTTGCAAGGCCAGCGAGAATAGACTGAGAGAAAACATACCCCAGTCTGCCCCCCAGTGGAGCCCCTAGGAAAGCAGCATTAGTAGTAACAGTAAAGCTAAGCTAAAGCTAAGCTAAAGCGAAGCTAAAGCTAAGTGGCAGCTAAAGCTAAGCTAAAGCTAAGCTGAAGATAAGGTAAAACTAAGGTAAAACGAAGGTAACGCTAAGGTAACGTTCAGCTAGATCTAAGCTAGCGCTAAACTAAAGCTAGGCGAACTATAAGCTAAAGTTAAGCTGAAGCTAAGCTAAAGCTAACGCTAAGATAAAGCTAAGCTACAGCTAAGCTACAGATAAGCTAAAGCTCAACTAAAGCTAGGTTAAATCTAAGATACAGCCTACAGCTAAGCGAAAGCGAAGGTAAAACGAAGGTAAGTCTAAAAGCTACCGCTAAGCTAAAGCTAAACTACAGCTAAGCTAAAGCTCAGCCAAAGCGAAGCTACAACTAAGCCACAGTCTCGGGAGGGCGCGAAGATGACCGCGCCTGACGCGTCGCGGGGCGCAGCGCGCTAAGGTCGACGACCTAGCTTAGATAAGGAGCTGGATTTCGGATTAATCGGTCCATCAGTCCATCAGTTATCGGCTCAGACAGGGCACGCGTGTTCTCTTTCGCGATCGCTCGACCCAGAGTTCTGTAGTGCGCAGACTACAGATGGCCAGCCATCCACGCGGCTACGCTCTGTCGAACTACCACCGCCATCGCAGTCGGTCGCCCCAGCCGCACCGCCTCCGTCAAGAGCAAGGCGGGGGCCTGAGAACTCTCATTCGGCCTGCTGACTTCCCTTGTCTCGGCCATTGCCCGCGTCTGGCGGCAGGCGAGGTTTGGCATACTGATCCAGCTTGGCCGGACTGGATCATGAACAGCTTCGCAAGCCTAGTTTGGCACTCAGAGGCGGGCATGCCGCGCGCCGCGCGCGCGCTCGCTAACTGTTGCGACGTATTGCTGTGTTCGGTCTGCGGCCATTGGACCCGCGGGGCCCGAACAGCCGGCCTCGTGGAGGACTGATTTGCGTTTGAACAGGGGAGTGAGGAGCCCTCGTGGCGTGGGAGAAGTTGAGGGGGAGAAGGACTGAGGAGGAGGAGGGGGAGGAGGAGGAGGAGGAGGGGGGGGAGGAGGAGGAGGAGGAGGAGGAGGAGGAGCAGCCCCGATGCGAGAGGAGTGCACGCGCGTGCGGACTAAGTACCGCATGAGCTGTCTGCTGCGCATGGCCGCCGGCAAGTACCCGAGACATGACGGATACTTCTGGCAGGCGCAGGGCCATATCGATAAGGAGGGATAGGAGGGGCGGAGAGAGAAGATGATGAGGGCGGAGAAGGATAGGAGGATGAGGAAAGGTGAGGGGGCAGGAGGACTCGGAGTTGGAGGTAAGTGGAGGAGGGAGGGAAGGACAAGCGCATCGTGCGCGTGCAATGCGGCCCTTCACCTGGACCTTCACCAGTTGACCTGGACAGCGATGATGAGAGCTCGGACTCAGACTCCCAGAGCACCGAGGACTACAACTCGTCTCCGGCTGGCCAGGCTCGCCTAAGTCTTACATGGCCAGGCTCATCGTCGTCCGCGTCTTCGGCATCTGGCAACCCAGGGCATCATTAGCTATGTAGAATTGAGGCAAACACTGAACCAGGCCCTAGGTATTCAGATGTTGCAATGACAGGCATGTGGGTTCAGCCTGTCGCTATTGTCTCAAGCCGTTGGACAGAGCATGTAGGGTCTAGGACGTTTCAACTTTGCTCACGGTGCGTGGGTGGTCCATTGCACAGCATGCAAAGTGATGACCGTTAGAGAATCACGTGGCGTGATATCCTCAGATATCTCACCCTCTCCTTGTCCCCCTAAAGAGCCCGTGGCACGAAATCCTTCAACGACAAGCCCTCCCAGGGGCTCGTGACGCGAAATCCTTCAACGCCCAACCCCCCAAGGGCCTGTGACGCGAAATCCTTCAACGGCCAGCCCTCCCAGCGGCCCGTGACACGAAATCCTTCAACGGCCAGCCCCTCCCCAAGAGCCCGTGACACGAAATCCTTCAACGGCCAGCCCTCCCAGGGGATCGTGACGCGAAATCCTTCAACGCCCAGCCCACCCAAGAGACCGTGACACGAAATCCTTCAACGGCCAGTCCTCTCAGCGGCCCGTGACGCGAAATCCTTCAACGGCCAGCCCCTCCCCAGGAGCCCGTGACGCGAAATCCTTCAACGGCCAACCCTCCCACGGGCCCGTGACTCGAAATCCTTCAACGGCCAGCCCCCCATGTGCCCGTGACGCGAAATCCTTCAACGGCCAGCCCTCCCAGGGGACCGTGACGCGAAATCCTTCAACGCCCAGCCCTCCCAGGGGCCCGAGACACAAAATCCTTCAACGGCCAGCCCTCCCAAGGGTCCGTGACACGAAATCCTTCAACGCCCAGCCCTCCCACGGGACCGTGACGCGAAATCCTTCAACGACCAGCCCTCCCAGCGGCCTGTGACGCGAAATCCTTCAACGGCCAGCCCTTCCCCATGAGCCCGTGACACGAAATCCTTCAACGGCCAGCCCTCCCAAGGGCCCGTGACTCGTAATCCTTCAACGGCCGGCCCCCCCCATGTGCCCGTGACGCGAAATCTTTCAACGCCCAGCCCTCCCAAGGGGCCGTGACGCGAAATCCTTCAACGCTCAGCCCTCCCAGGGGCCCGAGACGCAAAATCCCTCAACTGTCAACCCTCCCAGGGGCCCATGACTGACGCGTGGGTCGCCGCCGCAAGCGCTAAGATAACAGCGCTTCAGGGGTCGTGGTCTGGCCCAGAGATCCGCGCGTCTCGGGGGCGGCGGCGCGAAGATGACCGCGCGTTGCACGCCGTGGAGCGCGAAGTTAGGTGACTCAGGACGGCCATATACAACAACATTCAATAACTGCTGTAGCCAATTTTGGCTCAAGCCAGAGTTTACATATCGCGTTCAGTTCGCATGCGCTGCACGCGCGATGTTCGTGCAGCGATGCTCTGGCGTATGCAAGTATGTTTGCTGACATGCGTTGCCTCTGTCATTCGTGCTGCCAGCGACGCAGATCGTTTG